CAGAGCACGGCAAGAAGGCGCTGGAAAAATGCTTCCGCGAATATTTGTGGTAAGCATTGACAAGTGAACGCTCCAGTGAACGTCCCGCGTCACCGGTCATAGCTGTGAAGGAATCTCAGCCCCCGGAACGTCGGTCTCGTCCGTCTGAATGAGATAGCCAGTCCCATGAAGAGCCGCTCACTATCCCATGAACTCCGCATCCAGAGGAGACTTGAATCCGACTCCGAGAGGCTCGATCCAGTAGGACGCCGTCTGCTGAACGATCGGATACCGCTATATCACATTATGGAACTCGGGAATTCCCTGCCGATGACTCCAAGAAATCGAGGGCACTTAAAACCAGTAGCATCCGTGCTGAAGGCAGGAGGGAACAGGCCAAAGAAGAAATGATGGCCCGTTGCGACCAGCAGTGGCATCAGCAGGACGTCTTTTGATGATGATCTCCCGGCCGCTTGTTATTCGTCGTTCCCCGAGGGCTTGGTCGCAAGGATTGCTCCTCCCCCCAGTCCGGTCTCGCTCCCCCACGAACCCCGTATCTTTCTCTCTCTATTGTGGATAGCCCATAGCCTCTTGGGTAGACAAAGCGGCAGGACAATTTGCATGATAAACCCACACACTACTGTTGGTGAAAGCCGACAGAAGCGGCGGAGGAGGCGGCAGCAGCGGTGGCGGCGCGGCCAGTCGTTGGACGGGCTCCAATACTTTCAGGAGGAGGACATCTGTGCCTTAGGCACTGCGCCGCTAATGCTCAAAAGCCCGCCGGGTAAGCGACCCGGCGCTCCGAGCCGCTACGACGACGACAAGGAGGACGGCGATGACGACCACGTAGAATGTCTAAGGAAAAGCTCCGTAGCGATAAACTGGTTCCGCGCTGTCTCAACAATGGAAACAATAAGGTACACATGCCCCGACATGCTGCTCGTCCGGCCGTGGCGAGACCCGCTGAGAGTTCCCACGGATTGTTGTGACGTAGATAGCTCACACGGAATCCGTTTCCACTCGCTACGGGAACGAAACGCTAACCTGCCACTGTTCAAAGGCGTTCCCCGTCGCTATCGCTCGATTGACTTCGACGACAGTCAGCCCGTTACCAGAATCCGACAGTCTCACTCACAGCGTTATCAGCGAATCACCGTGAATGCTCGATATTCGGATGAGGATTCGCAAACGGTACCGAGTTGATGGCTCGAGCATCGAGCATCTGTTTCCGCTCCCGAGGGAAAGGATCTCGGAATGGCCTCTGTCCGGAAATTATTCATGCTATTATTCATATCTTGTTATCTATTATTCATGCTATTATAATTATTCATGATGGAGCTATACTACTAGTTATTGTAAGAATTATCGCGGATGGTACAGCTTTTCTTCAGACTTCGCCCGAATGGGTGAATTCGTTGACGAACGCGTCATATCCGCTCACGAAAATTTCGAGCGCGGAGAAAAATGAATTATTCGCGGGTTTCCGGAGCGTGACGAGCCGAAACTCCGAGATCGAATATGTGATTCTGGAAAGTTTCAAGATGGAGCAGTCCCATGGGAACCGATCGCGACTGTATTCGACACTCATTCGGGAGGGATCCTCAAATATTTATTTACGCTACACGAGCCTTCGCAAACAGAAGTCCCCAGGATGACGAATAATGACGATGGCCGAAAAATTCATTAGAGTCATCAGTCGAGCAGTCGGATCTAATCACGGTGAACCCCCGGGCTCCGTACTCGGAGCGTGGATGCATCGAGTTCCGAACACGGGCACGCAGTCGGTCGTGAAGAGTTCGGGATCAACGAACACCACAAATACCTTCGGACGTTCTCCGGCGGAACGAATCTGATCGAGCGAGCAACACGAACACGCGGAATCCTCGAGAATCGGCGGAGTCTCGCAGCATGGAGACAAGGACGACGTCGTGCAGCATCCGACACGACCATATCCCGTGCAATTTCAGCCGGCGCAGCGCTTTCCGCCGTACATCGTATTATAATACGTGTTTTGGCGAGCCACATGCGAAGCCGGAATTGCTCCGATTTCGATAATTCGCATTTTGGTATCGAATCGCCCAGGACTCGTCGCGGAATTCTCCCCTAGTCGATTAGCCGACCCAAAAACGCGAATAATCGAACGGGTGGGCTGGTACGCTATGTATTGGACGGTCATGCCACGTAACCGACCCACGTCAACGTTGCGTGCGACACGAATACATCGAGGAGGGGTGGTTTGCTCTGATTGGAGAAATTGAAGTGTGTACACCCGGCGAGGAAGATGGATGAATCCTTCGAGACTCGAATTCTCTTCGATAGGAATGAATCATTCCACCTGAGAGCCTCCTCGTGGCGAATATATCTCCGATGGATCTTAATGAACAATCAGCTTGAGCGCAGGAGTCTCGGACGTAGAATCAGGGCACCTCAGGGAGAGGTCTCCATGCCGAGGTCGTTTCCTCGAGGAAATGATGCTGCGTGACGGAGGGTCTCAAGTCAAGCGATAAGTGATATATCGGCTCAAACTTACCCTGGATCAAGTGAGCGTCAGCTCTCGAGACAATCACGGTGGAGAAAACGAAATTCAGCTTAAAAGTACGGAGGGAGCTCCTTGCTTCCTTGGTTTATGAAATATTCGGAGCTCTTCATGAACTCGCAGATTACGTACATTTCGACTTCCGAGACCCCCTCAAAATTACGCAATAAGGAACGCATCAGAGGCAACGACTCCAACGAGTTACGGAAACGCGATCGCGGAATTCTGCACGTGCGACTCCTCAGCATAAACCTGTCGAAGCCCAGACCCGAGCGACGCATGGGATCCAAGAGAGGGCAAGGAGGGCCGTACTCGACTGTCCTCATCTGAAGCCGCTCTCCTCACGCTCAAGATCGCTGCGGTCCGCTATCAAGTGAGCCGGCGTCGAACTTCCGACATATGGGTCCGTGCTCGACGCACCTGTTCGAGGCCGTCTGTGGCGCTGGGCAAATTCAATGGGACAGCCGACGAGAACAAGCAGCCCGCTCGCGAACAAGAAGTGATTCCGAATGACACATCGTTTCGACTCGAATCTCAATGAGCGATGAACGACATTGAGTGCGCAACAATTGAAGAATCGGAAAGCACTGCCATCGGGGAACGCCACCAGCTGTCGAGGTTCGCAATCGCGAAGTTCAACTCTGAATTTTTTCCCGCCGAATCGACCAGATATCGGGAACGGAGAACCGGATCGAGAGGAGTGGTGTTCCAACGCGGAACGAACAGCTTCCTGCCCGGCGAGGGATCACGGATCACGAATAAAAATTAATTTCCTCTCAGTCACCGCCGTTGCCGACGTAGAGGCGGAAGCTCGGAACTGGATCGGGTTTCCCGATTTTCATTTTGACAGTCGAGGTGTCGAACAACGGGCAACCTCGATTTCGTAATGCCGTCGTCGGTGCTTTTCGTTGGCGCCCACAGCCGTAACATTTTACGTGACCAATGAATCAAAGGGACCTATTGAGGGTATTGTGCCATCCTGAATGATCGGCTGAATGCGGGTCTACTATTCCATTGAGCTTCCACGATACGAGCTCCGTAAACCAAGGCTTTATCGGATTGATTGATGTTACGCTCGAGGAATTAATTTGCAGTGATTTACCTTGATAGCCCGGCACAGGTCGGTCCTCGAAGCTTCAACCAGGACAAAATCAATGGAAAAATGAAGAAAATTTTCGAAAATATAATTTTCCTCTGCTCGAATGGTTCCCTCGCTCGGCCCTTGTTCGTCAAAAACTTGATTTCGTGCATTTTTTTTCTTTCCCCCTCCAGAATCGGAGAATCCGAATCCCGTTTCGAGCCCGGCGATCAGAGCAATCGTCAACTTTAACATTTTTTCCTCGACCCGCAGTCGACGCCGCGATCGATTTTCTATCGGCATTTCCCTCTGATGCAGACGGTCCTCCGCCAAAAATGGGAAGTGTTCGCCACCCAAACCCACACGCGGTAGGGCACCGGTGGCCCCGGCGAGCCGAGCGAGAGAATGCCAATTCCACCTGTATTCTGAACCACTCCGAGAGCGCGAAATTCCCGGGGAAAAAGCACACCACCAAGCGACCGATTTGCCCGTGGATATCGTTGCAAGACCTGTCTGTCTCTCTCATGGGCTCCCTATACTGATGTGATCTATATAGAGACGGCTTACGTAAGGTAACCAAGAACACTCTTCTTCGAGAATAATCATCGGGCTGCTCCATTCGTCGAGCGAAGACGGTACAGGGAGCGAATTCTTCGCGTTCGCCATAAGATGCTACCGATTCTTTAGTTTGCCGCCTGTATCGTCAATAAACAACACGCAGCAGATCGCTTCCGAACAAAAGTTCTGGAGAAAAGGGCACGAATCTGAGTCACATAAATCCGTCCTCTGTCGGTACCGGAGCGGCTAGAGGGCCTGTCCATCCTGGATAGGCGCCCGTGAATCGCTCCCGTCGTACGACCATGTCACGGAGATGATAATGGTGAGCCAATGCTCATCGAAGACGACAACGAGAACGGCCACGTGACGAATACGTGGAGGAGCTAAGCCGATAATAGAATTCTAAGTTTGACCGCACCACGATTCGAGCCGAACCCAGAATAGAATCGACATCAAGACCCCGTATTCTGACACGGACGACGTGCTAAGTCTCCGCCTCGGACGGGGTCGTCGACGTTCCTCACGTCTTTTGAACAACGATGGCTAGCGGAATCGAGCATGAACCGCTCGCGGCCAACAAGCGGAATATTCAACAAAAAAGAGTCACTCTTCATCCCGTGTGTGATACCACGACGTCGACGGAGAAGCCTCACTCCGCCGTGACGCGTCTGACGACGCCTGATACCGTTGAGACACTGCGTCGGGTCTGTCAGCCGCGTCAGCTGATCGATGAACGCCGCCGCAGCTGAGGAGACTCGAATTGATCCGCGAATTGAGCGCTACATCGATCACTAGACGTAGCGAGAGATAATAAAATCACGTAAAATACGACGAACGTCAGTCACTCACCTCTTTGACTTTCTCTCGACGTTTACGAGTCTCCTCGTCAGCTGGACGGCCCTGGTTCTCAGGATCGACGATTTTGTAATCCTTAGGACTGCCGAGGTCCTGATCCTGACTCTCGAGGTTTTCCACTCGCTGTATCATGTTTTCCACTTGTTGTTGGTTGACGATCTCGTGGAGATTTTCTCGAGGGGGCTCTTGGGCCTTCTCTTCGGGAACATCGAGTTGCAACTCCTGCATCTTGTCCACCAAACGCTCCCGGTCTTGCTGGACGTGTACGTCTTCGTTCATGACAAGCCGGTGGTGTTGGGGAACGTTCGGGATTAGGAAGTCGCCGACCGGCAGATTCTTGATCGGTTGTCGCAGAGAATTTTCGGGCAAGAAGAAGAACATGATGAAGCAAACAAACATAGTTATGGCCATCAGAGCCAGCACGACCCTCCATCGGCCCAGGCCCAGAGAAGGCCCCATCCCGACAGCGGCGTATCTCACGTTCCTATACGAAGGCAGCATCACCACACGATAATTTGCACACGAACACTTTCGGCTGACATGGCTCTAGGCACGACACTCCGCACCCCGTCTCTCGCAACTATCAACTGGCCGCTAGCCGATAGTCGTCGTTCGAAGACGGAACAAGCACAGAGCACAGGTGGCGATCAGTCTTTCCCGCGAGCCGAGGGAGGGCGCTGCTCAGCGAACATAGAAGCTTCGCTCGGTTCGGCAATGTGTCGCGGATCGGAATTCCGAATTCCGGAGTGTTGTTTCCCGGGCGGATGAGCGGAGTATTCGAAGACTAGCAGTCTTGAATGACCGTTCAGATCATCAATCAGTCGCTCGTCGACCCGGAAAACGACGGATCCGCGCGGTGCGGCTCGCAGCGATTCCTGAATGTCAGAGGGGGAAGCGTCTATGCGGCGACGGGCGGGGGGCTGAACAACAAAGAATCAAATCCGAGTATCTCTGAGACAATCGCGAGAAGTATTATCAGCCACGTCCGGAATAGCGGGTCGATTGAGACCCGCCAGGCTCGAGATCCTTATCGGAGAATTTCAGAGGATCTCTGGACAGATTTATATCATGAAATAGATCGTCGCCTCCGGCGTTCTACTTCATGGGGGTTGACAACGCTAAATACCGACCTACAACAAACAGCCCAGCGCGCGCGGGCTGCTGCTTGTACAGAATCCGATCGCAGAAGTCTCTGAGAATTCCGGAGAAGCCCTCGCGGACGGTCCGGGTCTGATTAGTGCAGCTCGTTTTGTGTCTGATATCGTGGTGCACCGCAGAAAGACTCATCACGGCTTCCCTCACTGAAGTGGTATCGCCTTCAAAAGGCTTGAAGCGACCTCCGGTAATGAGTGACGAGACATTGAAAAAGCTGCTCATATTCTCCTCTTTTACGGTCTCGTGCGACCGGGGCGTCGAGTCCGCTAGCTTTTCTGGGGATCGGTCATCGGCACTATGCCATCATAAACCGTACCATGAGCGAATCGTGGCGTAGTATAAAAATTAATGAGTCGGGCCACAGAGGGGGGTTTCTGCTTCGATAGACTATTTTCTCGGTTGACCTCGATTGCTGTGCGAGTTTCTGAAGAAAGTGATACCTGATTCTGTACCAAAACCTGTACTAAATGAATTCCATGGCGCGCACCTGAAGCATATCTGACAGACGTCACGTTTTTTTGTACATGGGATTTCGACGTTCCTCTTCTGAGGGCTCGATGGCTATCGCTCAGCAGCTTTGTTTCTCGAACACCCTCCTCGCGATAGAATTAGAACCTTGGAGTTCTCTCGTGAAAATCAAAGCTGACCCGGTGCTTGATTCGAATGATGAGTGATCGGGGAAATCCTTTGTCCTCAGCCGCTTGACATGGACGCGGAGTCGCGGATATCGAGAGCCAAGATGGAGTACACTCTGACCAATGGTTCCGAGAAAGTTCCGAAGTTTTCCTTGACGGAGATCCATGAGGCGATAAGGAGCTGCGGGACCGAAAGGGAAATCGTCGAAAGTGGGCAGGTCAGTTTGTCGTCCTTCATGATTGTTGGAGTTCTTCGCTGAAAACAATGATCCGATGCATGACATCCGGCTTCCGCCCAGATCTAGAATACCAAAACTGGAATCTTACATTTAGAATAACGAAAGTGGATAAGAACGATCAGAGGATGATTCCAGGAGCCTCGATTCTTCTCAACAGCTCTTCGGGAGCGTATGAATCTTATCAACAAAGAAAGCCCACTGAAAACGAGATCTTGTTCCAGCTGCTCAATTTGATCTTGTACAACACCACCGATGAGGAGCAACGATCGCGAAAGAAGCAAATTATATTCGAAGTCCTCCTGAAGCTCATCAATCACACGGTTCGGATACCTCCTCTGGCTCGGGATGTTCTCGTTGCTATGTACGATTCCGTCGAAGATCTTCAAACGTTGGCTCTGGCCAACTTGGTCGCCCTGGACTTACAGCTGCCGAAAGTTCTGCAGCAGACCGTGGTCGGCATAATGGAGAGTTCGGAGTCCGGGACAGCATCCGAGAGATTTCAGTTGTTGTCCGTATCTTTGGCGATGGGGCGAGCGATCGCAGCGATTCCCAAAGAACTCACCAATTTATTGATCTACTCTTGTGGGGTTCTGGTGAAGAACCAGCAGGACCTCCATCTGCCCGCCCTGCTGTGCCTGCGAGCTTACCTCAATCACAGTCGAGTCATCACAGGCTCGTTGCCGACTGATTTGCCATCGGGACGGGATATTGTCGAGAGGTTCTGTCAGAAAATTCTCAAGCACCGCCCCGTTCCCTTGAGCCGGGAAGGCGTCATGTTTCTCCTTACTGCCGCCTCACCGCTCTACGCCGATGTCCTGAGGGAATTGTTCAACGGCGATTCGAAGATCTCCGAAATCCTTCTCGCAACGAGCGTCAAGTTCCCTTCGGAAACATTCGAAGTGCTCGCGAGGGTCTACAGCTTGAGCCCCGCAGAATGCCTACCGTTGAAAACGCTCTCCATGATCGTTGACAACGTTCTGAGCTCGAGAGGGGCCGAGGTCATCGACGATGTTGTGAAGTTCTGCCTGTCCTGTTCCGAGAGCGGTATTCTAATCAAGAGTTTCTTCGGAGATGCGCAGGAGGAAGAAGTCGAATCGGAGAAAAGCCTCAAGGCCACACCCGTCATCGAAGTTTTCCAGAGTCGGAAATCGGAAGAGGATATAAAAGTACTCTGGCCGGCTTGCGCTCTGAGATTCCTGAATCATCCTATCGTCGAAGAATCGTTGTCTGATGGCTCTATGCAGCCTTTCATCGACAGAGCTCTGCAGACGGAGCAGAAAATTCTCGCATCGCTCCTATTGTGCCCGGAGTTGAAGTCGCTCCGCTTGCCCGTGGAACGGCAACCCCTGCAAGGCGATGCAGACGTGACCGCGTTGTCCACCTGCGCGAACTGTCACCTTCTGGAGACAAAGATCGAAGGATGCGAAGCTGCGAAAGACGCCATGGCTCACTCGGTAGGAGGCTTGAGATTCAAGATTAAGGCTCTAGAGGCCGAAAACCTCGGCATGATAAAAAGAGTCAGAGAGTGCGACTCCCTGCTGAGCGAGCGGAAGGCCGAGGTGTCGTCGATACAGGCTCAGGTCAACTCGAAGGACCGCAAGATCGAAGGTATATTGTCCCTGAAACTTAAAGTTAATGATCGATTATCCAACGGACTTCCGCGTTCCTCGGTCCACGGGTTTCTGTTGACAGGGTGTCCCAATCGTCCCCGACGGATTTTTGTCGATTTAAAGCTCCGAGCGGTTCTAGTGAATGCATTGCGTGTTCGTTGCAGAGTTGAAGGCCGCAGGGGAGCGATTCGAGAACGAGCTGACGGGTGAGTAGCACTAGCTCCGGCTCATTTTCCATCCCCCCCCTAATACCTCACGGCATTCAGGGCATCATTCCTCGAATTCTCTACCCCTCCACTACAGCGGAGCTGCATCGATTGAACGCTTCAATGAGTTTCGATCCTTGCAGAACAACGCAACAAGAATCAGGAGACAATGACCGTGCTGAAACAAGCACGTCGAGACACTGAGAAAGCGAGAAGCGACTTCGAGCGTAAGGTAAGCTCAAGCTGATCATGGTCCCAATTGTGGAAGAGCGAAGTCTGAGTAAGGTCCACGGTCCGCCCTTAAAGTTCGTAGACGGATGACTCCATGACTGACTCTCAATTCCAGCGAGGGGAGTGCCAGCAACTCCAGAGGGAGCTGTCCACCGTCAAAGAGCAGCTCGCGGCTGCACGGAAGAAGATCGAAGAGCTTGAATCCTTCAAAGAGAAGTTGAGCTCGCTGATGGGATCTTTCTCGAAGTAGGCCATCCTCGGCCGTCAATCTTCTCTCGACGCGAGAATGATAGAAGAACTTTTAGGACTATCCTATAGGACTAGAATCAAGCGCCGCGTCCATCGAACCTAGCACCGATCAGTGCCCATGTACATAGACTCTAGCCAGGACATCATGAAATAATTTACTTCCTCGACTAACTTCCGACAATCAGTGTATTTCGATGGTAATAAAACTCGGTTTCTCTGTTTTTTGTGAGGGAGTGTCGTTTTGCCCGAAAGGATCCTCAACCATTCTCGCCACCTGTCGCGTCGAACGTGTTTGGACATGTCCGTGAGGGGCTGCACTTGAGGAATTTGTGAATCGAACCACAGTAAAAGCTCGTTATAACGACCCCCATTACCAAGAATTTCTCGGTACTACGAACATGGAATTTCTCCTGCTTTGGTCAGCTCGCCATAGGGATAGTGTAAAGCGGCATCCGTTACAGCGGAAACTCGGTACAACGAACCAGTTTCGTCGGTCCCTTCGTGTTCGTAGTAAAGAGCTCTTACTGTACTAGCTCTCTGCATAAAAAGCTAGAGTTGAGTCAACCGAAATTGTATCCCTTGTCGTGCTTCTTCTTATCTGTTTCCTGACTAGACTTTCGATCCGGAACGCCGGGAAAACTCAGCTCTGTGCGAGCCTGGCGCGGCATCTCTCCCGACCCCACACAGGCCAATGCTCATGCCACCGGGCTCCTGCACAGGGGACCGGTCAGCATTTAGCCGGCGTTCTAAGTTGTTAGTCAGCAGAATTTCATTGACGGTGTTCGTAATCGGGCTGGCAGTGCAAATCGAAAGCAAGAAACGTCGACAATGGCGCAACGTCTTCTGTTCGGTGGGACCCAGGGCAGCAGCTCCCAGAGCAAGTACCTAGTCGAGTTCAAAGCCGGCAAATGTACTCAGAAAGGGAAGCTTGTCACACCTGACAAACGCAAAGGTAATAGATATGTCTTCCGTGAATTGACTAATTCGCGTGGCTCTGAATAGAGAATAGAGAACTGTCCGAATATTAGAATTAATCAATCAATCAATCAATTTAGAGAGTTCTCCCTTGAGAAATCTTCGCTCGCGGAATTTTCGTGGGTCATGGTCATGGATCATCCCGTGCTGCAGTTCGAATATTCAGAATACATCATCTGACAGAGAAACCGTTCCAGGATTGGTCTACATCCAGCAAACGGATGATTCGCTCATTCACTTCTGCTGGAAGGATCGTACGACCGGTCAGACCGAAGAAGATCTCATTATGTTTCCCGGCGATGCCGAGTTCGAGAAGGTTACGCAGTGCACCACTGGCCGTGTTTTCGTCCTCAAGTTCAAATCCAACAACAAGCACTGTTTCTATTGGATGCAAGAGCCGAAGACGGACAAGGATGACGATTTCAAAACAAAGGTATCGTCTCCGAGTATATCTGGAATTTTCGAATGACTCGAAATCCTGCCCCGGAAACCCAGGAAACCGCCTGGGGAAAACTCGAAGAAGCTTTGACATCTCTTATCGAACGACAGGTGAATCAATTCCTCAACGATCCGTCAACCCAGCAACGGAGCTCGAATAACTTCGCAGAACTCTCCGACGACCATGATCTAAGCTCGCTGATATCTGGAATGAGTTCGAGCGAACTGGCTCAGCTCTTCAGGGGGCTCGGAGGCAGTCCCAATCTCTTTCCCTTGGGGAGCGGGCGGAATCGTGCAAGTCGAGCTACTCACGATGAGGCTATGGATACCGAAACCCCTGCTGCAGCCACTCCCACCACGGCAGGTTCGGGTAAAAGTGAGTGCGATACCCATTTGAATCAAATCAACGAAACCATGAGCGAGAAAGATGAGCGCCTACGATGAAATGCTGTCCTTGCAGGTACTACGAAGGTCGGAAGTGCAGCCAAAGGTAAATATCCATATATATTCAACACGACTCTGTCTCGGGTTCATTCCATCTTTCCACTAGTGCTGCATAGCGGTGGATCCGAATGGAACTGAGGTACATCACCCCTTACAGGCGCCGGAATTAAGGCTCAGAACCTCGCTGAAATCTTGAACAAAGTCAACGCGGAGGTGGCTTCGGGCTCTGGAGGAAGCAGCTCGCATCAAGCCGATTCCTTGAAAGATCTCCTCACCCATTCCGAAGTGCTAGAGCCCATCATCAGCAACAAGGAACTAATGGCTCGAGTGAAGGATTTCCTCCCTCAGGTCGGAGGCGAAGAAGCGAGCTCAGAGACCGCCGAACAGCTGAGCGGAACCGTTCGAACGCCCCAATTCGCCCAGGCTGTTTCCATGTTTAGCGCTGCTCTCGCTTCCGGTCAAATGGGACCCTTAATGACGCAGTTTGGAATGAGCGCCGACGTCGCGACGGCGGCGGCCACTGGTAACATAGAAGAGTTCGTCAAGGCCCTGGAGAAATCACAAAAGAAACCCGAGAGCACTGATGCTGAGATGAAGGAATAGCTGTGCTTTGGAGTGTTGCAGATGAACGGAATACATAGTTGGCGGATATCCCGAACTGGCAATCCACGTAAAACAGCATATTGATATTGATCATTGATAACGATAACGCAGAGCTATACTCGAGACTCGGGCGCTGCCCCGAGTGGATGTGTGGGGAATGGAGACTAAAGAAGGCTTTGAACGAAAATTCGTATCTTTGTGTGATCATTTAAACGTAGAGTTTCACTTTATTTTCGTTCTTCTGCTTGATCCGTCAGTTTTCTCCTGCACTATCATCTTCTGGATGTTGTCGACGACTATCAGGCCTTTCACAGGAGATAATAGTCGGTAGTCGCACAATGATAATTATTACGACAATATCATGGTAATAAGGATGATAATATTTCAGTCTTAGCAATGATCGAAGGAGTGCGAATAGCTCGCCGGAATCCGTTGCCATTTACAGATTTCACTCTCGAGATACTCACTTCTCCTACATTCACGGTCTTCCCTTTTCCTGACGAAAGGCCGTCTTTTCCCCTGGTCACTTCGCTTATTCAGTCAAGGTCCGTCTAGGTCGAGTCAGTAGCTTCTCGAGGCTTTCCTCTCATGGTGATATCGAGGAGCGTTTTTCCCTCCCTCTTAATCAACACAACAAACAGGTAATCGGTAGTACTTAATCAGTGTACGCTCTCTAGATTGCAATCAAGTGCCTCTTGCATCGATTCGATCTATCACGAGGAGGAGTTGTAGCAGCAGCAGCAGAAGTAGTAGGAGGAGTAATGCTCATGGGGTCGGTGGAAGAATCAAAAGGGAGCGATATTTGAAGAGAACTTCTGAAGCTCCTGAACATTCTCCCGACGAATCACTCCGTTCGAAAAAGACCGGCAATCATTTACTCTGCTTTCGAACCTCTCTCCTCCTCTCGCTCTGTCACCAAAAAACTTCCGAGAACATCTGTCCCATCTTCCGGAGTCGCGACAGCGCGAACAAGCGCATCTGTTGACCAGCAAATCACGAGACAAGTAATCATGATTCCCAAAACGACATATAGGGTTGAGAAATTCGTTTGCCTTCTACGGAGAGCCTCAGTCAGTCTACCGTCATTTGCGTCTTTCTTCCCCTTTTCTCATCCTTATCAATGTCAACGAACGTCATCACCTCGCCATAGGGTGTGGATGCTCCTGTGAATGGCTAATTCATGCTTCTAGAACACCGGAGTTTGTTGTATTCTCATTTTAATCTCGTAGCACAACATATTTCAGGCGGTCAGCTCAACATCACTAAGCTTCCTCGAGCATAGTTCATCAGTTAGTCTCGTGGATTCAAGGTCAAGTAAAGAATCGATCCTTTTGATTTCATCTATTTACAAGCATACAGAGAAATAGAGTCAGATAGACAAGCTCTCAAAACCCGGGAAAAGGGAAGGAGGGGCTATTTCTGCTCCTTTTTTCAATTCGACACCGCTTTTGGAGACGGTATCGACGTCAAAACAACCGATGCAACGTAATAGTATACGAGACGCGCCTTCCTCTTGGGAAAGAGACGAGCGTCTTTATAGGTAAAGGTACAAACGGAGAGAGACCAAGATGGGGTTCAACAGAGGGACATTTCAACCTCAATGGATATGAACGATGAGAGACCATGGTTTAGCCCCACTGAAGTCCAACAGGGTTCGGATTTTTGTACTAAGTTAACCGTTGAGCACAGAGGTCACACAGGGATCCCAATATCTGATTGTGGTTTCGAGCAATCGATCAATCTACGTGATGATTAGTCAATCAACCAATCAACCAAGGAATTGGGCCGAACGATCGAGCGATCGATGAACCGATGGTTGGAATCACCGACGTCATCGTCGTCGGGTTCTGATGATGGTCCGTGAAATGGCAGTCGAAGCATTGTCGTGATCTTGCAGAAGTGAGCCGCAGATCCATGTGGTGGCCGCCACGTAAGAGAAGTTCCGCGTCCTTTCGTCCGTAGATGGAGATATGCAAACGAGAACAGCGGAGAGCTTCGATATAGAGAAAAAGATTTGAGACTCAGTTCCGCAAGATTAAGGACCTCTGACACCTCCCGGCGAACATAAGGACTCGGGTTTTTCTTCTTTTGGATCATCATAACAAGGCACAATCAAGCAATTAGGATCGATCGGAGAAATCAGGACGAGGCCCGAACTCCGCATTTAACGCAAGTAGTTTTGAGTGATTGGGAAACAGAAACATCTACTCGCTCTCTTAGAAACATCCAGAGAACTTCGGCGCGGACTGGCAGTAGTTTCGCCGCTCGAAGCTCATCTTCCGTCTTCGACGGACCTCAGGGATCCATAGAGCATCGAAAACTCAGATGTGGAACAGACGAACTGGTGGAACGGCGACCATGCTCGTCGCCATCGCCGTCTGCCGCTTGACGGGAGCGAAACAGTAAGAGAACCAATCGGTTGTCCACGCGGAAGTTCAAGTGAGATCGCAGTAGCAGTACATATTCAGTAGTATTAGTGGAGTTTCCAATCGTACTAGATAGTCGTACTGGTAGTAGTGGTAGTAGTATCAGTAGTTATAGTATTGGTTCATAATTACCTCCATCTAGCACTATGGCCAGCGGCTAGACGTTCGGTCGTGCCGCCCAGGTGTGTGTTTCACTTGACATGATATTCTTATGATCTAGATTCGACGTATAGTCACGCTGATGTGACTTCTGCAAATAGTAGACTCGGTGGCTTGTTTTGTCGTTTTCTTGTCAACAGAAAATCTCTTGCTCAATATTTCAGCTTATCGCTCAGAGAATCCATGTGAGACAAATCATGCGGATATCAGACTTCGGTTTCATTCAAGAGCCCCAGCCTGGATTCGGGCCCGAGCCTCCCCGGGCCTACCCTCAGGCGCCCGCTCCTTGATGGTGGGCTGGCTATCCCTCCAAGCGGTCGGTCCGATGTACCGGCCGTTATGGTATATATTAGGTTATTCTGATGTCGTGACTTGAATGACTCATTCGATCGGTCAATCAATCATGAATCGATGAGATAACGCTCTTTCCAACCTCCTCACAACATTGGCTCGTTAATGTAACAACCTTTCGGTGATATGCTGTATCAACAGTCCATTTGCTTGCCCATAATCTTATATTCCTCGCCTTATCGTATTGAGAACATTTCCAACGTAATGTGTTCGCTTTCGTCGGGTGAAGCAGCAGTAGTCGGGGGAGGTTCTCCGCCGACATCTGCTCTTCCGTCTGTGGAGTGAGGAGGCACCGAGCTAAGCTAAGTGGCGAACCACAGGTTGCCTTTCCGTCAAATGTCCTGACAACCGTGCTTCACATTCTCTCAGTGATCGTGACATATCGGTGAGGTTCTTGTTTCCGTTGTTGTGACCTTACTAGTAGTGCTTTCCTTATCGCAATAGTGGGGTAATATTCGATAATGACAATAATATTATCCTTTGCCTTACTGAGAGTAGAGTTTCTGAATAAGTTAAGATAATTCAAGAATTGATCAAGATAGATCCCGAGGTAGGTGGACTCCCCTAGACGGAAGTCTCTGCTTCCGAGTTGAATACTGTTGACAATCCGGATGACGTTCGTTCGTCGCCTGTTAACGCCGGCCCGTCATCACAGGAAGGCCAGATGAGGCGAACTCGGGGGCACCGAGAGCTCTGTAATGAGAACGAGGCATGCATTCGTATTCAACACTCCTTATCGTTATCAGCACGAATGATTCGGGGAGAGAGCGAGCTTTTCTCGTGTCCGTGATGTCAGGGGCATGGCCAGGATTCGATTAGGGGTTAGGGGGCCTATTAAGCCATCGATGGAGGGTTCACAACTTCGACAGTACCTCGGGTAGGGTTAGTCGAGGGAGGGAGACTTACTTACACCGTCGACCGTGCCGCCATTGGGCTGTGGCGCGAGCTGGGCTTCTCGGTCCAGCTGCTGAAGAATGCGCACTCGGTTGTCGTTTTCAGTCTTTATTCGCCGTCGGAGTTTTTCGCGTTCCGTCTTGAGTTCTTGTAGAAGTCTTCTGTCTTCTGCGCGGCAAGACAACTCAAGGTGGGCGGCCTGCTCGTCGATCTCGCTGATCGCAGTGGAGAGAGCCTCGAACCTGTATGAATAACGATGCTCATTTGAATATCCCGAACCGAAAGCCACGATGAGCATTGGATCGAATTCTCGACTTGCGGACTCAGGGGTCGACGCAGCGGGGATCGTTCTTACTTGAGATCGAAGATATCTTCGAGGTGCTTATTGCGCTGCGCTCTCAGAAGACTGAGGGTCTGCCCGATGAGCCTCATCTGATTCCTGAGCTTTTCGCAGTCTCCACAAGCCGCCTTGGACGCGAGGAATGTTTCCAAGACGCGTATCTACGTACGAGAGGGAAATCGAATTTTACAGTCGAAGAGACGGGAATAGGAGGAGCGGATGAGAATATGGAGTTTACAGACATAAGATTACGAACCTTGTTTTGAGCAGCTGTCAGAGCCTCTTCTCTGAGTTTGGCCTGCAGCTCGGCCTGCACGGTGATTGCGATGCTCTCTTTGAGAGCTTCTTCCAGAAGTTCCAGACGTCCGATGCCGTCCGTCGAACTCGACGCGACGGTACATTCGTTATTGTTATCGTCGTTGAGAATGCAAGCAGCAGATGCATCAACCCGGACAGCCTGCCCATCCTGTGGCGAGCCGAAGCGTCGTTTTATGGAGGATCTGATTTGTTTCAGATAATCTATGTACACGCCTCCGATAAATAAATATCGTTTGAGTTTGTTGAGTACCTAGTATTATTAGTCTGCTCCCAATCCCCCTTCGCTCACTCGTCCTCGAAAAAAAATCCTCCATCGGAAAACTCCCGAAGCTTGAAAATTGTTCTTGTAAAAACGGCGACTTTCTCTCACACTCTCGGAAATCGGAAAGAGCTCGACGATCAGTCGATATGGTTGAGGGGGCACCGCGCTAGCGGGGTCTAGACTCTCATCTTGGGGGAGGGGGTGGGATACTCGACCCTGGCCAGCTCGGCACCTCCGGCCACTTAAACATACGACGCGTGTACATATACTGCAACTTGTGTTTGCATGCACGTATGACTATGAATGTGGTTGTATGAGTCGACGATGAGTGTATTCGCGTGCGTGCTTGCTTGCCTGCATGCTCGCACGCACGCTCGCACGCTCGCGAATTTTGATGAATCAGTGAATTTTTGTCAAGCGATGGGAAAAGCTTTGCTTCGCTGCATTCGAAGCTATCGATGCTCATCCCATATACGATCGATGATTTATCACGAAGGACACCGAGACTAAAGAGAACAAGGAGACAAAATAGCTGAGTCCTCACAAAATAGACTCGCGCAGGCGAAGCGAAGGTGAAATCTCTGTCTTCATCATCGCCAACATCACCATGATCAATAATCTATTGAAACTGCTTGTTTGAACCTGCGAAGTTTCTTTGTTCCAATGTCATCAAGGGTCCGATCATAGTTCCATTCGCTTCAATTTCGAGTAGCTCCTGGGTCAGAGGAGTATCTACTCTTCGAAATTCAGGTCTCGCGTCGTCATTGCTTTGTTGGTGTTGGTAGCTTGTAATATGTTGTCGTTTTCGGGTCGAGGTGTTGGCTCTCGCTCACAGAGAACTCCTCTCGCTTAAGTCCCTAAGCTGACCGTCTCGGGGTGACCATGGGCTCAATGTCCCGGGAAGGAAATGAGTCGGTCAACCTCCAAGGTGTCCTGTTAATGTTTTCATTGTTGTCGGGGTGGTCTTTGTTGTTGTCAAGTGCGTATGGCGTTGGTGAAAAACGTTCGGTGGTAAGGCGGCACTGTTCGAGAAGACCTCTTGGCCTATCGAAAACTATTGCACGAATATTTCAGCCTGGAGATTCATCATTCACTTTAGAAGAAATTCGAGAAGAAACTGCTCGCTCCGGCCGCCAGATTCTGTGGCCGTATCCAATCCAGATTCGCAGCACAAAGAGAATCATCATCCGAGTTAGGTTTCGTTAGTTCCGAATATTCCCATGCAGGGCGATCCGGTCGATCCTCTTCGATTTCTACAGCGTCTGGAGCCAATTCACTACTTACGGGTCTTTGCTGTTGCTGTCCTTGAGGTGGTCGCGGCTGTCCTTGTTGGCCGGGGCCCTGTGGCCGAGGTTGGCCTTGTTGACCAGGAGCCTGCGGCCGAGGTTGGCCCTGTTGACCCGGGGCTTGCGGCCCTCTAGGTCCGGCTTGCTGTTGTTGCTGCGGCGGCTGCTGTTGCTGCTGTTGTTGTTGTGGGGGTTTCTGCTGTGGTGGTCCTGCTTGTGGTGCTGGCGCGCCTTGTGGCAAGGCGCCGCCTGTCTGGAAGATCTTCAATTTCCTTGAAAATAGAGGAAAGAGGTTAATGAATGGTAATATCTGACGGAAATCGAACGTCAAGGCCCGTTTCAGGATCCCTATGGCGGTCAAATGTTGGAGTCCGCCTATTACACTCACTCGGTGAGCTGCTGGATCTGTTCCTGCATCTGGGCCTTATCCTGCTCGAGGTTGGCCAAGATATCGAGGAGCCTGTTGATTTCGGCTTCGTCAGCCCCTTTAGCGGCATCGCCGCCCTGGCTGAGCTTCATCTCGAGATCAGCGCACCTCATGGTCATTTCCTGGAGCTTTTGGATCAGGGCTTCGTCTGGAGCTCCACCTCCGCCATTGGCGGCCAACGCCTGTTTCTGTTTTTCTAGTTCGGCCTGAGCCTGGAAGAATGGACGACCGTCAGCTCCGATCGGGATCCGGCGTTCAATTTCGGAGGATGGACGGCTCCGGAAGCCAGAAGAGATAATGGCGTGAACATATCGGACCCGGATGTGCAATCGACAGAGGGGGCACTTATAAGGGGGGCATTGGGCCGTTCTTTCCACGAGTTTCGTCGACGTGCTTCACCTTTTTGACGTTGACTTCGGCGGCGTCAATCTGCTCTTTTCTCTTCCTGAGTTTCTGTTCAAGTTGTTCGAAGGCCTTGTGTCGTTCGTCCAGCTGCTTTCGCATGGCGGCCAATTCTGCCTCTGCCTGAGCGTTCTGGCTGACGTTAGCCTGCCCGGCGTTCGCGAGTTGGCCCTGCAGTTGTTGCAGTTGTTGCTGCAGAGCCGTGTATTGCTGGCTGCCCTGCTGGATGGTGGCCTGTTCGTTCGTGGAATGGGAGAGGATCAGGATGAGAAGCTCGGAGCACCTCTCGAGCTCCAAGAACAAAGATAGATGGACGATTCTCCGGTGTCCAAGGACTGAATATTGGCTCGGGATTCCCTGATATCAAAAATCGCTACATACCTCTCGTTTTTCGATCTCCTGAACGAGATTCTCGAGTTGCTGCTGGAAGCGTTTCCGCTCCCCGTCGAAGTTCTTGATTTCGTTTTGTGCCTGTTCCAGAGCCTTCATGTACTGCTGGACCTCCTGTCGGGAGAAATCATATCGGGGAGGAGGTTTAGTATCCCATTTATTTGGCTGGGCGCGGGCGGACAGCGGAGGTCACATTTTAATTATTGTCTCATCCCAACTCAAAAAGCTCGCCCCGCACCTGGGTAAGCCTCATGTTCTCTTGTCCTTTCGATTCGAGCTCGGCTTGCATTCGATCGAGTTCGTGCTGCAGTTTCTCCACCTGCTCCGCGGCCGCTCCATTCTGTTGCTTGCCAACCGCAGCGGGCTGCGGTGGCTGTTGCTGCAGTGGCTGTCCTTGTTGCTGCTGTTGTTGTTGAGCAGGTTGCTGCTGCTGTTGTTGAGCGGCCTGTTTGGCTTGCTGTTGAGCCTGCAAGATGAACCCGTAGTTGTAGCGAAGGAAATTGAGAATCCTGCGAACGATGCTCCGCTCAATCTCTTGTTTAACCCTCAAGAGTTGTGTAAGTCGCGAAAGCGATTATGTAGACTAGACGTTCTTGTATTTATCGACTCCGTCGGGATGGCAACTTATGCAACAAGAGTTATTCTCGTTTCGGTTTCGAATTTCTGTGTTCTGACTAATTTTTGATCCAGCCACTCGAGAGTTTCCCTCTTCGTCGAACTCGACGGGATCGCGTGGTGATCGCGCAGAGATATCACACGAGGGCCCAGGACATCCCTCCCGCTGAATCGCTCCGTTCAGGGCGTGAATACATCTTGAAATTATACTCGATCGGCCGAAAGGGGTGAGCCCCTTCTAACGAGCAGCTGATCGACGTTCTGCCAGTGAGAGATAATTTTTGGATTTCCCAGGCCGAGAAGGCCCCGAAAAAGTTGAAAAATTGCGCTGCATGGAGCCCTGATACACAGAGCAAGGGGACCGTTCAATATGGCTGCGCGGCCGAGGTCGAGTTACCATTGTTCAACACGGAGCATGACTACTCATGACGTGCCCTCAAGCGGCAGTCGACCGAACCATCTGTCGTATGCTGCCGGCGTGGAAGGCGCTGCGGTCGATCCCACTGCTGTGTGGGATAGAGTGGATCACCTTGCTCCACAGTCACCTTCGTGTGCGTCACGTGGCGAGATCTCTCTAGTTTGCGTGCCGACTTCAACCCTACAGAACTTCAGACACCATGTCTAAGGGTTTCGATCCCATGTCCTTCGCCCAGGACTTCGTGGCTGGAGGTATCGCTGCCGCCGTTTCCAAAACCGCGGTCGCCCCGATCGAAAGGGTTAAGTTGCTGCTCCAAGTCCAAGCCGCTTCGAAGCAGATCACCGCTGAGAACCAGTACAAGGGAATCGTCGATGCGTTCGTCCGAATTCCGAAGGAGCAGGGCTTCAGCGCTTTCTGGAGAGGTAATCTCGCCAACGTGATCCGATATTTCCCGACGCAGGCTCTCAACTTCGCTTTCAAGGACAAGTACAAGCAGGTGTTCTTGGGTGGAGTGGACAAGAGAACTCAGTTCTGGCGATACTTCGCTGGGAACCTCGCTTCCGGTGGAGCCGCCGGAGCCACCTCGCTCTGTTTCGTTTACCCACTCGATTTCGCCCGTACCCGTCTCGGTGCTGACATTGGCAAGGGCGCCAAGGAACGAGAGTTCAACGGTCTGATCGATTGTCTCAAAAAGATCACCAAGTCCGACGGAATCATTGGACTCTACCGAGGATTCAACGTCTCCGTGCAAGGTATCATCATCTACAGAGCTGCCTACTTCGGCTTCTTCGACACGGCCAAGGGAATGCTGCCCGATCCCAAGAACACCCACATCATCATCTCGTGGGCCATCGCCCAATGCGTGACAACCGTATCCGGAATCATCTCGTATCCGTTCGATACCGTCCGTCGTCGTATGATGATGCAGTCGGGACGTAAGGGAGGCGAAGTCATGTACAAGAACACCATCGACTGCTGGTCGAAGATCGCCAAGAACGAGGGTTCGGGCGCTTTCTTCAAGGGAGCTTTCTCCAACGTGATCCGTGGTACTGGTGGTGCCCTTGTGTTGGTCCTCTACGACGAGATCAAGGTTGCTCTTTTCGCATAATAATGTAAGACGACCACGTTCTTGAAAATTGATCATTCTCGCGAAGAAATGACAAGTTAGCTTGTAAAAAAATTCAATACGATGAGTAGTAGCAGCCGTCGAAATTAAATTAAGCGACTCTTCCATCCATTCATGCATTCCTGTGCGAAAGAAAAGCAGAAAGAGAGTAAGAGAGAAAGCTAGTTCCAGCAGTCGCTCGTCTGTGCTTGTACCGAACACTACCGTTACGAAGACCGAAATCGCGCTGATGTCCAATAAGATCCGATCAAATATTGATTGATATTGATTGAACGGAAAATCCCGCCATTTCTGTCTCCTACCGAGTTGAAAGCGAAAATAAATTCCTTTTTCCCTAAAAAATCGACAGCCCCATCACTTGAAATCAATGTTTGGCAGAAAATTGGGCCCCATGCATGGACCCTGCAGAGAATTCTGAACTAGTTTCGTAGTCATCACCGGAGAGCAGCTCCGTTCCGGAAAATTCCGAGGCGTAGGTTTCCACGTTGAGAGAGAAGAGCCTCAACAGTTTGACGACATTGAAGACGGGCTCGAGGCATGACTTCCAGATAAGACATCCCTGTGGCCGTGGAGATTTTCGCTATCGTCATTCAAGGTCCAAGCTACATTCTAAATGGGTGAGCGACCCAATGCCTTCGAGTACCGAACACGTGGTCGGAGCAGGTCGCCAGCGATCGGGGCGAACTCCACGCGCTCCGGAAGAGATCTCGACCTTACCCGGAGGCTTATTCCATCTTGGGAGCTTTTCTGATATCCAGAACTTTTTCATGAACAGTTCAACATCTATTTCTCAAGCCTCGTCGAGTTTCATAAGTGGTGGTTCTTATGTTCCAGCTGTTCCACGAGGTCAAGGTCCGCTGCGGAACTGAACCCGAGAGCAAGAGCCAGAGGAGAACCCTCCGACCACATGCCGCGACTCGGTGTCACGCATGACAAAGCCGTCATGTGTATTCAAAACGTGCCATGCTCACGCTCGGTACCCGTGAAAGGCAGTGAATGAGCCGCATTTTCTGATCCCAACGAGCCAACGAGTCTTCAGTCGATGTAGCCGATTCCTGAATTGATATTCAGGAATTCGGAGTGATGGTTAGGTCGAGAAGAGAGGAGATCGCTCGAATATCGCAGGTTGTTCTTTCAGGCGATTTGATACGGCGTTTTCGCGGTAAGGACCCTGCGCCTGACCGTAAAGAGGGCAAGCGTTCGAAAGTGACCATTCACGTGGAAGGTCGCCGAGATATGATGGAATCCTCGTGACGTCACTTCCCGCGCTCACACTCTCCGGTGTGCGTCGCAGAACGTCGCTACGCGGCACCGGCAGTCTCCGCCATCGAGAAGCGTTCTACGACTAATCTGAGGAACTCCCCCGACCGGGGAATTTCACTTAGTTTCCCCGGCCGGTGGGATGCGACTGCACGATCGAAGCACCCACCTGTCTCAATTGGTTGACCAGCTCTTGTTGAGACACTTGGAGATTTTCATTGATTTCGATGACCTTGTTGTTCTCTTTCTTCAGTCCCTCGATATCGCGTTGGAACTGGGTCACCGCGTTCAGAGACTTTTCGAGCTTTTCGCGCAACTCGCGGTTTTCACCTTCGTACTTCTGTGTCTGCTGAGCGCTTTGTTGAATTTGTTGCTGGAGAGCCAGAATCTGTTTCTGGTATCTGTCGAGCTCAGCCTTCATTTGAGCTTCAGCTTCCCCAGGTCGGCCTGGAATTCGACGTAAGACCATCGTCAGCGTCGTTCTGCCTCGGATTTGTCACAAAAATTATCGTTTCCGCCCCAGTGGGGGAAGGGCTCGGGAAAAAGCTCGGATTACAGACCAGAGTTGATGGATCTGAGGCGCTCGAGTTCACCACTCAATTCCTGCACTGCCATCTCCAACCTATTCCTCTCTTCGGCTGTGCGATACAACTCCTGTTGAACCCTTTCAAGTTGCTCGGCAAGCTGCTTCGTTTCGCTACGTAGTTGCTCGTTTGCGCCTGAAATTCGGATTGTGGTTCTGTTGAGATCACAATCTCCATCGGATCCAGAGGCCCATGCGGAGATTTCAAGCAGCATTTTCGGCGCTTCTCACCCTTATCTTTGGGTAGATTTTGTTGAACTTGGGCAATATATTTTTCGCTGTCTTCAAGATCTTGCTTCAATCGATCGACTTCCATTTGCAAACGTTGGTTTTCGGATACTGCTTTTTGGAGCTCCTGGAAGCAAAAGGTAGACCGTTGAGAAAACCATCGTAGGGGATAATTTTGCGCCGTGCGAACTTCTCGCTCGGAGAACATTCGAAGAAGTCCTTCAAAGAGAAATTCTGCGTACCTGGTCCGATCGCCCGAGAAGTTCTCTCAGACGATCCACTTCAGACTTATCGAGCTTCGAGGGCGGCCTTGGAGGCAGCCCTTGCTCGATCTGCGATCTAGCCTGCGCCAGGGCATTCTGGAGTGATTCTCGCTCCTATAAGGAAGAGTCATGATTTTAATCATTGCGAGAAAGTTCACCTGATGGGGACTCGGGCTGGATATGATTCAGGGGAATCTCGTGATGCCTACGAGGTATCTCCCTTCAGAAAACGCGGGATCCCGAGCTTCTATCGATAGAGGAAATTCGGGAAACCGCGGCGAATTCCAGACACAAACCTTCTGCAGCCGGGTGAGTTCGGATGACTGCCGTTCGAGTTTATCTTTGAGCTTTTCGTTCTCGACGAAGAGACGTTCGATCTCTTGTTTCTGTCGAGCCTCGCTAGTTGTGAACGCCGAGGATCGGCTCTTGCTCGACTCCAGCTCGCACCTCATTCTCTCCATTTCCAGTTGTTGTTGAGATCTTTGTTCTTGCAGCTTTTTGATCTCAGCGCGTGCGTTCTCATACCTGCAACAGCAAGAGGCGTCTGTGATCGGGAGCGACAGGTTCGAATATATGCACACGAGCTCCTACTGCTCGGATCGATGAATCATTATCATTATCGATCGCAGATACGCAACCGACGTCGGGAAAAAGTCCGTTATCACACAGACCTGTCTCTGGCTTTCTCGATTTCGAGGTAGAGACGTTCCATTTCGGCCTGTTGGGACTTTCTCTCTTCCTGTGTGACTCCCCTATCTCCAACTGCACGTTCCAGCTCGCTTCTCAGCCTGAAAGGGAGGGGGCGATCGATAATGCGTGAGTCGAGGAGAAATAGTTCCAGAGGTTCACGTCAACGATCGCAATTATTGGTTTGTGCAAAGTCGGTCTTGCGCCATCGGAGGGGTCCTGGCTTTATTTCTCGGGACGCTTCCCGCTCGCCGCCGCATCCGGCTCATGCTCGTGCGGTGTTATCTCTCCTTCGGCGAGCGACCGCGGGTTATGAGTGCGTCATCAATCATCCTTTGTTCGCAAGTCTATTCCCACGATTCCGCGAGGATGAACCCAAGCTTGACGTCGTGGGCGACATGAACGGATACGACCGGGTATGCGAACTCCCGCAGACACGATCCTCACGGACCCGCAATCAGGAAACCGATGCGGGGACATCGCGATGAAGATTTCTACGCAGAGCCGAGCGATGAAGGCTCGGGCTCCGACTCACCGTAGAATTGTCTGGATTTTTATCGAGCAACGTTTCGAAACCTTCGATCGAGCTTCCGACTTCTCCGTGGGAATAAATTGTGAGGTGGCCGCGTAGTGGCCCCGGCGACCGGGGTGTTCCATTCCGAATCCAACTCACCTTAGAAGATCCTCTTGCGCTTTATCTCTCTGCGTCGTCATTTTCTCAACATCCTGCTGCGCTCGCTCGAGTTTGTCTGTCGCCTTTTCGAGGTCAATGCGCAGTCGTTCGATTTCGGATTGATTTTTGTCGATGGTAGCTTGCATCTGCTTGATTTGACGCTCTGCACGATCCAGCTCTGCCTCTAGTCTGCGAGCACCGGGAGCGGAAATCGCGTTTTAAATAGGTCACTTACGATGTCCTAGTTCTATCGTATGTACAACCCATTACCAGCCCACGAAGCTCTTCTGAGTGAGGGGCATGCCGAGAACGAACATCAAGGGAAGTCACTTTCATTCGGAGAACACTACACATCACGCCTCACTGAATATAATTATTGAATTCACGTGCATTCCCAAATCATTCCCGAACGAATGCATTCCTGGATCCATGCATTGTTCTACGCAAAGCTTCGACTGGAATTGCCGAAGAGACTCTGCACTCGTGATTGTGGGTGACGACGTGGAGAGAACACAAAAAAACTTCGTTCCCATCACAGAAACTCATGGAGGGAAATATCGACGACGACGACTATCATTATTCGAGCAACACAACGCACAACAACAAAATCAAGATACCACTATAAATTCTAAACCGCGGATTGAAGTGAAATTACCTGTGATTTTCTTCCTCAAAATGATCTTTATCGACGGTGATCTTTCGAATGTCATTTTGATACTTCTCCATCTTCTCATATGCAGCCTCTAGCTCGAGTTGAGTTTGTGCCAGCTCGTCTTGAGCCTTGTTATTCCTCTGGGCTTTCTCGTACTCGAGTGTGACTCTATCAACTTCCTGCTGCAAATGGTCCCGGTCTGTTTGGACCTTTCGCATCTCTTGTGCTAGCTTGTCGTGACGTTCCTTATAGAGTTCCGCATCGACCATGGCCCGGTCGAGGTCTTGTCTGTACTTATCCTCGGTGTCTTTGAGTTTCGCGAGTTGGGTGTTGGCCCGCATGTACATTTCCTTCATGCCCTCGAACTCGTCCATCGCTCGCTTGTGCTCTTCCTTGTTCTTGGCCAGAATTTGTCCGCACCGATCATGTTCAACTATAAGCCGATCCATGTCTTTGGTTTGCTGCTCGTACCTGCTCTGGGCCTTGTAAACTTCGGCCTGAGCTCGATCAATTTTCTCCAAGGCTTGATTGGCCTCTGCCCGCGCGACTTCCTTGTCCTGGAGTGCCTTGTCCAGTAGAGTTTGCGCCTTTTCGTATTTCTCACGAATCAGACGCAAATCACTGGTGGCCATCTCCGCCTCACGTTGGTAACGGTCCACCTGAACGTAACTCTTGTCATGCCTTTCCTTTAGCATCTCGTACTCGGCCTGAAGGTTATCCTTGTCCTTCTGCGCCTTGACAAGTTGAGCACCGAGCATCTGCTCTTTTTCCTTATAGTCTTCCATGTCAGCCATGGCCAGATCTCGTTCTTTCTGAAGTCTGACCAGCGACGAGTTCAACCGCTCATATTTCTCCTTGAGAGCTTCTTTGTCGGCCACGGCCATGTCATTCTCCTTCTGCAGTCGTTGGACTTGAACCTGGGCGGATAGGTCAACACGTTCGTATTCATGATAATATATAAGCCGACAAGCCATCCGAAGCCTCAACTCTCGATGTATCTTTATCAAGGCTGTTTCGCTAAGCGTGGGAGGGACCCTGATCATTGAGGAATGACGACGTTGACTCCCCCCCCTTTTTAAGGGCAAGAAAAGAGTCGCCAGGCATGACGAACTGTTTTCCGTCATTCCGAATAACACCACGGACGGAGACGTCCACGGAGGAAAAAGAATACGGAGTACGAGGCTCCCTCGGAAAGATGGCTCATTTCGAGCAGACGACACCGCTTCCCTATTCTTGCGTTGCTCTTGCTTTCGTATGCCTCGACCTCGTGTCTCGGCCTGCAGTCGGAACCCTTGACGGTTCCAAAGAGACAGTAGATGTAGATTTCAAATTTTTTTTCTCACCTGCAGTGAGTTCACTTGCGACTGAAGGCCTTCTGCTTCGCCTTGCGCTCTCTCGCGATCTGTTTGATACCGGCGTAGTTCTGTGCTGACTTTATCTAAGCGTTCTTGCAATCTGAAATCGGATAAGCAGTGTCTAGCAAGCCTTCTCGAGCTACTTCAGACCTCGAAAGGATTTCAATGGATGTGCATATGTATGCAGGTCCACATCATTCGGCGACCATGATTATTCGGGAGAATCTTCGACAGAGTCTCGCTTTCGGACAGCCATGGCAGCTTCCCTCGACTCGGTGATTCGAACAAGTCAGAAGGGAGCCTGATATTAGAAGGGGGTCACGATATTTCGCTAGCAATCGGGAGAGAGGGAGAGATAGAGAGATTTCTAGCTCGGTCTGGCCTTACTGCTGCAAAGGCTTGACTTCTGCTCACGACACACGAACCTCTCGGCCGACAACCTGCGGAGAGCCATCAAAAACTTCATAATGGCCTGCGGCGCTGTTCATGAAATGGTTCCGACCGTTGAGGCTCGATTACTCTCGCTCAGACTACACTAGACCTACACTCGCAACGACCGCTGTCCTTGGGCAACCCTCAGGGGCCAAGTCCTCGTTGTTGATGAGATAATAAGAAGTGAAGAGATCGAGACTTCGGTGCGAAGGAATCAGCAGCGAAAGGACATTCAATGACTGGATTCAGCCATAACTGAGGCGCGGAGTCTACACAGATGTGATACGCTTGCTGTACACCAATACGGATGACAGAACAGAAAAGGTTTTCCAGTGTATCACGTCGGTACGATGACGGAAAGGAAAGTGAAAACACTTGGGCAACATCCGGACGACACCGACTAAGCGATGAATCAGGGATGAGTAAACAGCGAATGCTGCACCGAATTCCTTCGATATGAGACATCGATGAAGCGGTTCTTCGGTGCGGCACGGAAAGTGAGCATTTTTTCTCTCCCAGATCGAAATCGAGAAAACCCCGTACTGACCTGTCTCCGTCCATTTGCGCCTTGTCAAGTGCCGCCTGCGTTTTGTCGTATTGCGTCTGCACTTTACTTAGCGTCCCTTGGACACGCTCTAGCTCGCCTTTGAGCTTCTCGGTCTCTCCCTGGTGGGAGTCTTTCTCCAGGTGGTAACGAGCGATCATGCCCTGCACTCTGTCATGACGAATAGAACACGAATAAACACGGAAATGTTAATGAGCACCCACCGAAGACCTCGAGTTTTCGCTCAGCAGCGCGCTCGACTCGTTTTGCAGTGCCTTCCGGACGGGTCTCCGACGTCAACCGGCGAACAGACGAAGAGAATGTGAACTTACCGATCGTATTCTTCTTGGAGGGCTTCACGCTCAGATTGTGCATTCTCTAGTTTAGCTTTAAGCCGGTATATGTCGCCTTGAGAGCGCTCAACCTTTTCTTGAAGTTGTTCGACTTCTGAGCACTTTCGGTCTGTCTCAGCTTGATTCATTCGAAGTTCAGCTTGCGCCCTGCGGAGTTCCGATTGAGTTTTGTCCAGTTTCTCCTGTGGGTGTAGAATAGCAATCTATGAGAACCCGGCTACTCTCGTTGGGTCTTGAGCTCACGTAGAGCCTTCGTTCCTCGCTGGGCGCTCTTCCGCTGCAGATGACGAACTCACTTGTAAACGTTCAAGTTCCTCAGAACTGGGATACAAGGATCTCGCCGGTGAGGCTCCTAATCTATTTCTCGAAGATCCTTGTTCGTCTCCCCAGTCCCTCTCTCTCGATCGGTCCCTAGATCGTTCCCGACTCTCCCGAGATATTCGAGACTCCAATCTATCCACACTTTCGCGGAGACGGTCATTGTCCAGAATTAGCCTGCGTTGAAAAGATGAATATCAGGGCTCATGAGAAATATTTATGCTCTTATGACCCAGTCTTGCGGAATGGTCGATGCTCGAGCAAGGAATAAATAGTTTGCCCTGGCAAGCAATCCGGGTACATGTTCCATGCAGAGCATTATTGTCGATATCTCGAGTCATGGCCTATGAACGAACCTGGCATTCTCCGAGCGCAGTCGGTCCCACTCGTTCGATGTCCTTGAGTGTTCTCCATGGATTTTTTCAAGTTCCGCACGTACCTGGCCCAGTTCTGATTGAGAGTTCTCTAGACGCGCCTCAAGTCGGTCCTTCTCTGCTGCCGCCTTGTCGAGGCGAACCTGTGTGAAAAAAAGAGATGATCTTCCTGTTTTCTGGTTTTTCCTGCTTTAGCATACGCTCATCCGTTCCGCGCGGACGGTATGCTCCCCGAGAAACTCGTCGCCTCACATTCCGCCCCTTTTTCACGAGTCACGAGCGCGAGTAAGGACGTCTTCCCCCTTGCACTCGTCATGAGCAAGGAATTCTTCGCGGCAATCGGCCTCTTGCTCTATCTTCCCTCTGATGATACGCGAGGTTGACAGCGAGCGGCGAAGTTCTCAGCCATGAATGAGCCACATGGCTCCGGAGAAGCGAAATTGCTTCAGCCATGCGAATGAGGCCTCATGGTGGAAGGGGAGCAGCAGGGCAATTTAAGAACCACGAGATCGAGTCTAGATGCAGGTGAGCGGAGACTGAAGGATGGGATCAAGGAGAGAGGAAATGAAAGCAAAAGTCGGGACCTCAATATTGAGTCAAAACCGAAGAGCAGAAATCCTGGAAAAGACGCCCGAAAGCGTAAGATGGCGACCATTCACGACGGGAAACGAGGGAGGGGGCGCGAATACCGCCGAGACAAAGGAGAGGAATATAAGAAGAAAGGCGGAAGTGGGAGGAAATGATGCCAAGTTGGAACATGGGGAGGAGAGACGGATCACTATAGGGGGAANCGATAGGAAATCCTT